GAGAGAGAGATCAGAAGATCCATTTTGGACACCATGAGCTCAAGATGTCTATTAACTACTCAAAGACAAACTCTAGTGGGCAGCCAAATTCCTAGGAAATAGGCCTGAATTAGAAATATATATTTGGAAGTTGTCAGCATATAAATCACCCACTAAGGGAGAGTAAATTGAGAAGAGTTCCAAGAACTGAGCCCTGGGTTATGCTTATGCTAAGAGGTTGAGGAGAAAAGGAGAACCTAACACAGGATTTGGAGAAGTAACCACCAATGAGGTGGGAAAAAAACCAAGAGTATGGTATCTTGGAAGCAAGGAAAAGAAAACCTACCAAAAAAGAGGACATGAGCAATTGTGTCAAATTCCGCTGATAGGTCAAATAAAATAAAGATCAAAAATTGACCATAGGATTTAGGGAAATTACTGTGGAATTTGACAATTAAGAGTCAGCAAAACTAGACAAGTTTTTAGTTTTACTGCAAAGGGAAGCCAAAATATGGAACAGAGGTTGTCTGAAAAAAGGGTAGTCAAGACAAAGTATTGCTTTCATGAAAAAAAAGACAAAGTATTGCTTTGGTTTTTGGGTGGGAGAAATAATAGCATGTTCATATGCTAGTGAGAATACCCAAGCAGAAAGAGAAGTAATGATTATAGGAGAATGAAGGAAAACTTCTGGAACCATGCCTTGTAGGTTAGGAAACTGGATCAGGTGCACAAGTGATCCAACAGGCAGATAATCTATTGTTAACAGGCAGAAAGGTAGAGTAGCTAAACACAGTTACTAGTAGGTGGGTAGATAATTGTAAATAATTAGGCTATAGTGACTGTCAAGTCCAGATATCTATAAGAACATCCCTCAAAAGTGGTCTTCTGGAGTGCAGTGTTTGAATATTCACTATTATTTCAACTCCACTAGGTGCCAAAAAGCTATTAGAAGTCTTCACAGAGTGGGAGACAGACATCTCGGGATTACCTTAATTGAGACCAATTTGTTTCTAGTGACTACTCCATGGCACTAGACACCCTATCCAGGACTCATAAGTGAGGCACTAATTAGCAATTCTAGAATAACTGCATTCCAATTAATCCAAAGTCTTCTAAACAGTAGCTCCTGTGCATTTTTCAAACAATTTTCAGAAGTAGAGAAATCTATCATACTTGGCAACATTGCATATACTCTTGCATCATTTCAGGCACTTTAAATACTACCAAATTCCAAAGTTCAGTCTCAACCTTAGTCCTGGAGTTAGTTAGTTCATTAGTTTAGGAGGACTTTAAGAACAGAGAGAGTAACATAATTTTCACCAGTGAAGAGGACTAAATAGTCCATTCTGAGTTACTGTCCTCATTTAAAAGATTATGTCCTAAGCTATTCACAGACTCATGTAGGGGTGGTGTTAGAAGCATTTGAACAGCAAATATTATTTTAAATCCTTAGACCCTATAGAAAATAAAATAATCAAGCATATTAATTCTAACATTTATGTAACAAAGCTTTCATTGCACTATTCCATCTTAGCATTAGCAACAGGTGTCTCTTGAGATTCAGAAAAAAACTACTTTGTAAAAGCAACAAATTCTGATATACAATTCTAACGGCTAAGTAGTAAGCTAAGTAACAGTTTTCACTGACTCCATATCTTCCATTAGAAAAATTAAGTATACATTTTAATAAAATGAGGTTTTTCAACATAACACCCCAGAGAACATTTTCATAACTAATGTGTTTGTATCCTAAATGTAACTCTCAAGCTGCAAGTTATAATATATTAATATTAAAAAAAAGAAATAAAAAACGTGCTTCATTAAATACAAACCATCTACTGCAAGTCAGTGTTTCCTACCATTAAAGGGATCACATATGCCTTTGCAAATCTGATGAAAGCTATGTATATAATTTCAGGGAATTCATGGATGTCTTGAAGCCTATATAGAGGTCCTGCAAGTTTAGAGAATCTGTAATTAGTAGAAAAAATGGAGTCCAAAATCAATCAAAAACATAGGAAAATTTAATATATGAAAAAAGGAATTGTAATATATGAAAAAAGAACTGTAACATACAGTGGAAAATGATTTATTAGCATATTATTTGCCATAAGTTGCTATTCACTGGAAGAAACTATAATAAATCTCTATAAATATATGAATGCTTTAATGAACTAAATGTAAAAAATAAAAATTCTAAGATATATAATAAATATATCTACATATAATAAAATTATAAGATACTGTAACAAAATATAGAGAATGTACATAATCTTGGTTGGGGACAGTCTTCTCAAATAACAGAAGAAACCTACTTGCCTAAATTGAAAGATGTGACTGTGTAAATTTTGTAACTTATGCATAAGCTTACAGAAAGCTTTACACTTACAGAAAACAACTGCATTCTTTTTTTTTCCTACAACAGAAATAACCTATTTCAGTCGTTTCATTGGGTAATATAATTATGTTCATTATTTGGATATAAACAAGGAGCAGACATTACACTAAACCAATTTCTTTGAGTCAGAAATTAGATTTTCCCAGAATTATATTCATTCTTAGCAATAAGTGCAATTAAACATTGATATTACCATTTAAAAATTCTATTCAAACTGCTAAATCTTAGTGTAATGTCAATATAAAGTCCAAGCAGCCTGGTATAATTAAAGAAGCACTTGATTTGGAATCACACATACCTGGGTTCCAATCCTGACTCCGCCACTATTAGTTATGTGGTCAAGTTATACAACCTTTGAGCCTATTCCTGCATTTGTAAAAATAGCTTTCTGTGGTGTTCTTGGAAGATCACATAAGAATATCGCATATGGAAGTGCCTAGTACAGAGTCTGATTGTCAAACTATGCCTTCTTCTGCCTTCCTTCCCTAAGTAAGATTACTAACTGGGAACATCTGTTTTAGTACTGTCTTTTGTAAGACTTTTCTTTTTAAGAAATCAAGACTGCTGACATAAAGTTAAACATTTTACTTGCCATATTTTTGCAGCTCCAGAGCATTATTAGTCCTTCAAGTGTTTTGTATTTGAGCTCCTTTTCTTGGCTCATTTTTGAGTATGTGATTTGATCTATATTTACTATTTCTGATAGAATTTAAAGGTTTCTTGTAAAAAATCATGGGGAAAAAAACACATTATTTTCTACCTGTGGCTTTCTACATGTTAAGATAATCCTCTTTTGAAGAACAATTAGTTTGTGTCTATGGAAACCACTCTCAAGTGTTATGAAAAAAAATCTGAGGCAAAAAAAGAAAATAAAAATTGAAGTTATCCTAGCCACTGTAACGTGCTCAAGAAATATAAATAGCGATACAACAAAGAAATACGAATCTTATGTTTAATATAACTTTCAAATTTCTCTAAAAGGAGTCATTTTTTTTCTGTAAAGTTGGATCATTAAAGAAGCCAGAAAAATGACCCCGAATGCTAAGTGGATCCAAACAAAAAGGAAACGTGTATTGGCCAACATTCGATGTTTAAGGTGAATAATTCTTCCATCACACAAGACACATAATTAATAAAGTCATGGTAAATAAATTTGATATCTCTTCAAAACTGTACAGGGTAAGTTTTACCCTAGAGTTGAGGAATGGAATTATCCTTAGCTCCTCCTTCAACTTTAGCTGCACTTCAATTAGATTTATTTGATACTCTTTGATAGACTGCTCTTTAAAATGTTTCCAAGGCTTTTTGCAAAGTCTGCCAAAACTGCAAATAGGCAGCTATCCTTCTAATACTACAATTATTTACTAATACATTTTTCCGTAATGTTAATTATCACCCACAGCAGAATCTAGCTGTTACTTAGTCTAAATGATTTTGCTGCTGGTATTTTATTGCTTGCTTCTCAAAAAGTACTTAAAACAATACTGAGGTGAAAGAATATACACAAACACACTTCACATTACTTTTCCATATTCAAATTACAGCCTCGAGCTGATTTTTAAATGCCATGTACATTTTTAAATCAAAATGTATCGCATTCTTTTAACACTCCCTCCCCCACCCCAAAATCCTCCCAAATGCCAAAGTTCCCTACTAATCTGAAAGCACCTATTATCTGCATTTTTCTGGTCTTTCACAACTTCAGACTCCAACATTATATACTTCAGACCCCTTCTCTCATTAAAGTAAGCACTGTTAACTCCTTAAGGTACTTAAGCATATGGTTTATTTATTGCATAATCTTACTTTTCCTTCCACCAACTTAAATCTCACTATAATTCCCCTTCAGCGTTCCCTTCTCTCCTAAATGTACATCAACATTGCCGGGGGCCACATACGCAAACATTCCTCTTCGTAAACCCACAATATTAATAAAATTTAGCTCCACTAAAAAAAAGTACTTAAATGCCTCGATGCCTCCTTTCAGTACCACGCTGAAGCTTTTTATTTGCTTTCCTGTCCTACCTTGGCAGCCTATTTCTCCCATCAGTTGTGTGGTCCCTTGCTGCCCCCAGCACAAGAGTGCAACTCACTACAGTGTATTTCTTTTACCATCATTCCCAGTATCTCCCTCCATTTCCGGGCATCTATCCCTTCATGAAGCTCCCCGTCCCCAAAAGATGTGCCTCCAGGTACCAACACCTAAAATTAGAATACCCCTCGACTGACACTGCCAGGGCTTTCCGTAGACTCAAGAAAACACACAAGGCTAAGCGTTCCTGCCTCCTCTAGCAGTTCCCGCTCCCTACCGAATTCGGTCTTCTCTTGCCGTCTCCCCGGTGGAAATGCCTACTTCTGGTAACCCTTAGGCACGGGAAAGCCCACCTTAGCAACCTCTGCCCGGTGACCTCGCGAGCCCAGCACGTCCCTCAAGCTTAATTCACACCTTTCTTGGAGCTTGTGTTTTCGATGCCCCCAGTCCCAGCTCTCGATGCAAGCTCTTTCACCCTCTTGCCCCCGAGCCAGACCGCAGGTTAGACGATAGCCCATTTACTCCGGTCGCAATGCCTCCCCGGCCCGGCCCCTTCCACACCACTCACCCCGGAGTGGCTCTGCTCCTTACCTAGCTTCAATCGGGACTCCTCCAATTTCTGGATTTGGTTCTCCAAGAAGAGCATCCCCACTACGAAGGCCACCACCGCCAGCAGCTGCAACTTGGGCGGCATCATAATCCTAAGGAGCCCCATGAAACCCGCTGCTCGGGATCAAGACATACCGCGGGGGGCGGGGAGCGGGGCCCCGGAAGCGAGTGAGACGCCGGGGGGAGCCCACCGAGCCGAGAGAAAGGCAAGGAGAGCGCGACAGCGAGAGAACCACCGCAGCGACCCCCCTTCTCGCCTCCCCACTCCCCCGCCCCCAGGCGCCAGCACCAACGCCGCCGGTGCCCGCTTCTCCTGGACCGACTCAACGGCCGCCCCCTCCAAAAGCCCGCGCAGCAAACACAGTGCGAAGCGGCTGCCGGGCTCTCGCCTCTCTACTGCCTCAGTCCCCGACCCCCGCGCCCGCCTGCCCGCCTCCTTCTCTTCCTTCCTTCCCTCCCTCCTTTGCTCGCGGCCGCGCGCTCCTCCGCCAGCGCTGCGGCTGCGGCTGCGCCGCCCTCGGCTCCGCCCCCTGCCCCTCCCCCGCCACCCCCACGCGCACGCATCCACGTACGCTGCTCGGCAACCAGAGGCTCCACCCTCTGCTCTCGTTCAGTTGTGCCTATTAGACCGAAGAAACACGGAGCCTCACTCTTGGTTCGTGTTACGGTTGGTTTCCTTTGCCGTGGGTGTCAACCAAAGCGGCATTCGATTGGGTAAACTTGGAGAAGGCGGGCTGAAGCCGGTGAAGGCGCGGCTTCTTGGTGGCTGGACGAAATGTCGTGAATAAAAGGAAGGAGCTCAGAGACGCACAGATTTGGGGAGTTTAGGAAAATGCCTGATAGGGGTTTCGAAAGGACCCAGCGACTTTATATTTATGTCAAATATAAAGATATTTGACCACCTTTAAGTTTCAACATACCCTTAGGTAATACCTGTCTCTGCAGAGTAAGAGACTTGATGACAACGACCTTTAACATCCTGTTTTGGATCAGGCTCTGGAGTGGACGCCCCTAGTTGAGGGGTCCTCCGGGCAGTCGGAAACCTACGAAAGATGGTAGCGATGGCGGCTGGGCCGGGTGGATTGCTCCCGCTGGCGTTTGGGCTGCGTTTGCTCTTGGCTGCTGTACTTCAAACGGTAAGTGGAGATCATCTCCGCGGCAGCCCAGGGCGAGTGGGGAATGTTGCGCTGAGGAATACAAAACATTCGATCCTGCATGGTAGCCACACTTGGAGAGGCTGGGAGGACTGGGCTTCCTTAGCGACTGCTGCGACCGGAATGCTACGTGGCTTCATTCCTCGTTTGATGCTTTTCCTTTCCCGCCCCGGATTTCTAGCGGTTCTTTCTCCTGACTTCAGAATATCTTGAGTAGTACTTATATTTTGCAGAGTTCCAGCTAAAAACAACCTGTAAACCACACATTGGGCGGGGGGGAGGGGAAGAGGCAATGAATCTTAGAAAGGAATGAAGATTGTTTTTAAACGGGCAGAATACAAGGAACTACCGTTCTTTGTGATAAGGCTCCCTAAATCTTAGAAGAAAGCCCCCAAGTCTTTGGTCTGGGGTACACTTCCTGTTTACTTTTTCCTCTCAATTGTTAGTGGTCTCTAATTCTTTATCTCCGAGCTCTGTTATTCACGTGCTGCTGGGTGCATTTCAGTGCCATTTGTGGTTTTAAACAACCTTGTTGCAATAAAAGGAGCTACTCTATGCTAAAGCATAATTTTTTTTTGAAATCCATTTTCTAAAATGATAGTCTTCATCTCGTTTAAAATCGGGCAGTGTTAACCAACTTTTTAAATTAGTTCTTCATTAACAACAGACGCGTTCTTAATCTTTGAATGGGGAAGGACTAATTTGGTCTTATTTTTCTATTCATTCATGTACAACTTAATATTGGTTGATTCCTCCTAAGAAGCTTGCGATCCATGTTTTGCCTTATGAATAACTTCTTTTTTTCTAGGCACTGCGGGAGATTTTACACGTTTCATTAATCAGATTAATTCTTCAGGTATTTTCATTACTGAGCCAGCTGAAAAGTTTTCTCCTAGGAGACCTGGTTTCATTGACTTAAGCAAGGTTTGAGGAAGTTAGGGCCTCTACGGAAGACATCCATAAACAGCCCGAGCTTTTCTTTCCTCAAAGAGTTTGAAGTTCCTGCCCGGTTTTTTTTGTTTGTTTGTTTGTTTGTTTGCAACCATACCTTAAAGGTGGATTTTTAACTTCTCTAATTAGTATCATAGTATTCTGTTATGCAGGCATTTGGGGCCCTTTAGAAATTACTGAAAGAGCCCTCTCTAAACTTTCTACTGGAGGTTTTCTCCTTTTTTTTCTTTGCCAATCTTCGATAATTAGAGTCCACCACCATACAGAGATAAGGAGTAACATTTCACGTTGACTTCTCCTGATTTCTCTGTCTTTAATTATCTATGTTGTGTAACCACCCCAAAATTTGGTGGCTTGAAATAACAATTTCTCATAATTTTGTGGGTCTGCTGTGCAGTTCCTCTCTTGATTTCCTCTGGGTCATGTACGGAGCTCCATTGAGCTAGTAGGTCCCCTGAACTGAAAGATCCAAGATGGCTACATTCTTACTTGGTGCTGTCAGCAAGGGTGACTTGGTTCTCCTCCGTGTGACCTCTCATCCTCTAGCCCGACTTCTTTTCATGGCAGTCTCAGAGCAGCGCTCCTAAAGAGCAAAAGCTGCAATGCTTCTGGAAGCCTAGCCTTGAAAATCACAGATACCACTTCCACCTCACGATTTTTGTCAAAGCAAATCACAGGACCAACCTAGATTTCAGGGATGGAGAAACAGACTCCATCTCTGTATAGGAGGAGTGACAAACTCAGCAAAGAAATGTACATACCAGGATAGAAGGAATTTAGGGCCATTAAATAATCTACCACCGTGACTGTCCACATAAGTCAAAAAGTCGGTTAATCATCTTTGACTTTTTTTTTTTTTAACATACCTCACATCAGGCAATTACCAAGTCTTGTTGATTTTACTTCCTAAATATCTCTCAGATTCTTGCACTTAATGTTAATCCCTCATTCAGGCCACCAACATCTCTTTCGTTAGCATTAATAACCTCCTGGTTCACTCTTCTAGCTATCAGAACCTAAATGGTTGGCTTTGTCAGCTTCCCAATTGCCCAAGCCAGCAAGTAGTCATTTTAAAATTCTTTTTCACTCTCTGAATCCAATTAGTCATTAAACCCTTGAAAATGTCCAAGCCAGTCCACTTAATTCTATGTCCACAGGCAGTACCTAAATTTAGGCCACCATTTTTGTTTGCCTGGAATTCCCACAACAGCTTCCTTAAACTGGGTTCCATATCTCATTTTCTCCCTTTCTAATCCAATCTCTACAGTACATCAACAGTCATCTTTTTTAGAACTTTATTATTAAAATTCTTCAGTGGTTCCCTGTTGCTTTTAAGGTGAAGTCTGTTCTCCTGAACATTCCTTAACAAGGCCTATTTCACCTGATACTTATTTGTTTAGCCAGCTTAATTCCCAGAACTACCTCTACTGCAAGAGCCAAAAGGTAAGGTGAAGAATTGGGGTCATTTGTTTTAACATATCTCACATACCATGTTCTCCCTCACCAGGCCTAAAGTAAAGTATTTAGATAAAATGCAAAGCTTAATTTACATACCACCTCCAGATATGCAAAGTCAGATATACTCTCTCCCTTGTATATTCCATCATCATATCTTACACTGTATTACACAGATCCACAATCTTAACAGCACCATACCTCTGTGTATGTGTTTGTATCCCTCCACTCCCCCACTCCTCTGCCAAGAATGTAGCTAAAGGGAATACAGAGACCTTATTTTGTTTTTTGTTTTTGTTTTTTTTTAATATATTGTGCCTCATATGTATTTGTTCACTAAAATCCCTCAGGGGTGTGCCTGGTTGGCTCAGCCAGTTAAGTGTCTTCCTTTGGCCCAGGTCATGATCCCAGGGTCTGGGATCCAGTCCTGCGTCGGACTCCCTGTTCAGCAGGGAGTCTGCTTCTCCCTCTGTACTGCCCCTCCCCCTGCTTATGCTCATGCATGCACACAAAAAAATAATTAAAATCTTTAAAAAATAAAATCTCTCAGAGGTGTGAATGGCCTCGTAGTTCATTTGTGTTTGTTCCTTGCTATCAGAATCCTCAGGATATCTGTAGTTTGTGCAGATTGGTGATGAACCCCACTCGCTCCCACAAATACAAAATGACTCCAAAAATAGAGAGTCCTGAGCAGTTCATCCTTGTTGAACTATTTTCACTTCCTGAACATTTATTTCTGTCTCTTTCTTGGGTAATGAGTGGTGTTTTTAAGAAAATAAGGCAATAAATTCCTTGAGAAAGAAAAGGGTAGTATGAAGGATTGTTGGAAAAACACTAAAGAGTTAGAAAACTGCATTTCACTGTTAGTCTGAAGGAGGGGAAAAAGACCAGGTGGAATAAGTTGTTGGCAGTGGTTTAAAAAAAAAAAGCCAAATCTTTGGAACCTGACAGGTGGATAAAAAGGAAATGAGGGAAGAATTTCTTGGCACCTTGAGGTTGAGCTACCAAGATGGAGAGAGGACTTAGTTCCTACTTTGTTAATTTACACCTCTGAGTCCTTAGACTAGACAAGTTTTATCACTGTGCTGCTGTGTAGCCCTAATTTAAAGTTAATAGCAATGCATAGTTCTCAGCATTCCGATGAGGTGACAACTGGGAGGATATAAAGTAATTTAATCTGAAAATACATTCTGAGTATGCTTTAGCATTAGAAAAGTAATATCTTAGTATGGCCTATGGGAGCTGTTCTCTGGAGCACCCCAGAACTAAGTGGCATTCAAGGCTTCATTCAGCTCATACATAATATTTCTTCATTCAAAAAGGCACTGTACTGGGGCGCCTGGGTGGCCCAGTCAGTTAAGTATCTGCCTTCGGCTCAGGTCCAGGGTCCTGGGATCTAGTCCCACATCAGGCTCCTTGCCCAGCGGGGAGCCTGCTTCTCCCTCTGCCTGCTGCTCCCCCTGCTTGTGCTCTCTCTCTTTCTCTCTGACAAATAAATAAAATCTTGGGGAAAAAAAAGAGGCACTGTACTGAAAGCAGTATAGAATGATACTGTGTATCTTTGATTCTGAGACACAACACCTCATCCTCCTTCAAGGTTAACCTCCATCCATCTTATTACAGTGGGCTGCACAATTATAATTGCCAGCGTTTTTGTTATTATTCTTAGTGGTACATATGATAATGGTGCATGAAGGATTCTGTGAGATACGATAGTTAATAATAAGGGTTTTGAGGGCTGATCAGGATTAGAATCTTGATACTGCCATCTGTTCTGCTGTGTTGTCTTAGATTACCATAACTATCCTATTTAAGCCTCTATTTCCCTCTCTGTAAAATGGGGGTAAAAC